AGCACTATCAAACAGAGTCGAACAGACTGACGCCCAATTCATCAGAGAATAAAAAAGAGTGACACGGACTGAATGAAGCTCAAACGGACTCACCCCGACCGACACAGATTCAAAGACACTCACACAGATGCACCTACACTCACACATAGTCAACAGGATTCTGCCAAAAAAAAAAAAAAAAAATACCCTCACTTCGACAAGGTTGGGAAGTGGGTGCCACTTACGCCGGTTAACGGCAACAACGTCTTCACATTCGGCCCCCACCTCCCAACCTCAACGTCGCAGATAGACACAGACTCGACCAGACAGACACAGACTCACCCAGACTCACACAGACTCATCCAGACTCACACACAGTCACCCAGAATCACCCAGACTGACACTGACTCATCCAGACTCACATAGACTCACACAGACTCACACAGTCTGACCCAGATTCGCACACACTCACACATAGTGACGCAGACTCAAACACATTGAAGCACTATCAAACAGAGTCGAACAGACTAACGCCCAATTCATCAGAGAATAAAAAAGAGTGACACAGACTGAATGAAGCTCAAATGGACTCACCCAGACCGACACAGATTCAAAGACACTCACACAGACGCACCTACACTCACACAGACGCCTCTACACACACACAATGTCAACAGGATTCCCAAAAAAAAAAAAAAAAAAAAAAAAAACCTCACTTCGACAAGGTTGGGAAGTGGGTGCCACTTACGCCGGTTAACGACAACAACGTCTTCACATTCGGCCCCCACCTCCCAACCTCAACGTCGCAGACAGACACAGACTCAACCAGACAGACACAGACTCACCCAGACTGACACAAACTCATCCAGACTCACACACAGTCACCCAGAATCACCCAGACTCACACAGACTCGTCCAGACTCACACAGATTCAAACAGACTCACACAGTCTGACCCAGATTCGCACACACTCACACAGAGTGACGCAGACTCAAACACATTGAAGCACAATCAAACAGAGTCGAACAGACTGATGCCCAATTCATCAAAGAATAAAAAAGAGTGACACGGACTGAATGAAGCTCAAACGGACTCACCCAGACCGACACAGATTCAAAGACACTCACACAGACGCACCTACACT